CCTGGAGAGCTCCAGCGGCAACCTGCATGTGTCGGTTCGTAGCAGTTTTGTCAAATTAGCTTTTCGGATATGCAGTGATAGATGTGTGACTGGAGATGCGGCTCGTAGTGAAGTGTCATGAGGCTCACGTGTTGTCAATTACATACATACCCTTCGGAGATCTGCCAACTACACGGAAGGGAGACAATGTTGAACCACGACAGCGTCGGTATGTTCACGTTTTCTTCTGATCCAAGTGAAAGTTTGATTGTAAGAGGAGGGGAAAAGAGAATGTAGGATGCAGGTTTCTACGTCATCGTGGAATGTATCAGCCACATGAGAGGATGGGCTTTCGGCACATAACTTCGGTATACGCTCGAAACTACCGGCGAAGCTCGAGCTTTGTCGATCATGAAGAACGGCTGCTTGCGATTTTGCTCGCCAAACGCGTGAAGATAGTCACCACTAGGACAAGTGGGAACCCAGAGTCGAGGCGAGACGGCCAGTGTTACTGAAGAGGTTGGTAGTCTTGGTATCGTCTTGGACTCATGTTGATAGGGAGTCTCTTTTTGCCGGTGGTAGGAGTAAGTACACATGTGGTGTAGAGGCAGCTGGATGTTGAAGTTTTGATCCCTAAGCGCAGTCACATATAGACATGGAGTCTCGAAAAAGGGTGGCCTATGAGGGCTGCAAGACCAAAGGGGTTGAAAAATCAATTGGATGACTCTCAATTAGGAAGTACCAATGGCAGCTCCTTGCAGCGTAGTCGATAATGCCCTTGCATATAGAAACGGCTTTGGCTAGTCACCCGAGAGTGGTGGTCGTTTTCGTCAAGCCCACGTTTTGATCGTCGGCCCCTGGCAGATGCCGATGCGTGATGCCGGTGACTGACCGTTTGGTACAGGCAACCGAGAGATCGACCCGCGTAGATCCGAGGGTGGTAAACGAAGACCACGCGAGTGAGTTACCTATGTTTGCGTAAAGGCAATTGCCGATGCCTGCCTTGGCCGCATGTCGTCACGCGTGGCTCTGGAGATACAAAGTTTGGTTACCGAAACGTTGGCTCGTTGCAGAGGGCGCGGCCCGAAAGTGACAGCTGGAGCTGACTTGCGGCTGAGCAGAGTGGGGACTCAGCTTGTATGACCTTCTCGATAGTAGGTTGCCTGAGTGTCATAGAGGGTGGGATCTGTAAGGATTGTTCTCCTGAATTTGCAGCACTCGATGGTTTCGCTGGTCTTTGCTACGTGGAGATCGTCGACCTCGCGTAACTGGACGACGACACGTGCACGGAAGTTGCCATCTGCTAACGCGTTAGTCAATCGTAAGGGTGCCATTGCGCTGGATTGTGAAGAAACCTTTGGATGTGCGTCGGGATGCTTGCGTCTAGTATACGCAATCCCGAAGATTTGCGCCATCATGGCTGGAACAGAAAAGCAAAACCGCAGGGTTCCGCGCTCGTGATCTGGGGATTTCGACTTCGGACCGACAACGAACCAGCGAAACCTGAAGCGCGCCACACATCATTCGCAAAGTATCGTGATCCTGAGGGATGCGCACGCATGTTTTGCTTGAATCGAGGAAGACGCTGCGAGTCAAATCTCATGCCATCGCTAAATTGCCCCACTCATACCGACTCGGATAGTGACGATTCTCACGAAGAAAGGGGACATTGGACGCGATAGCGACGGAGTTTCACGCAATCGCATGGGTCTGTTTCGAGCGTGCATCAGGTATACCTTGTAGGGCTGAGGTATCAGCCGGGATACGTTTTGCAGCCATGTCATGGAACGTCGACGACTTCGAGAACTTTTCCCGTGGCAATGCTGTTGAGTAACGCTGGTGCACAAAATTTCTCACACCAATCAATGACCGCGAAAGACATGATGCTTCGGACGCGGCTGAAAGATTTCGGGGGTATAGCTCCTAGATCATTTCGATTTTTCCGGATGCTCGACATGATTGAGGGCCTCGCTTCTTAGCTCAGAGACGGCGAGATTGGAACCGTACCAGGAAGTTGCTGATGCTCAACAAAACGGCTGGGTCCTCGAGGCTACCACAGACCTTGGGTATGCTAAAGAATGCGTGCCACACCTTGCTGCGACACAGTGGTTTGGAACGTTAGCCGAAGAAATGGCCGTTTCCAGGCCATCAGATTCCTGCACTCCGCAGTCTCTCCCGTCAGTGACACTCAGACCAGCGTCCAAATGACATGTGAACAAAAGCGGCACGTTTGTATGCAGCTCTGATGATGAGTAGTAAGACGAATGTCGTGAAACACATGGAAAGGCTGCATTCCTGCCTCGCGTATCGCGAATACCGCATCGGTCTCCACAAGTCGATCGTCGACGTTGTGAGAGTCAGTGAACATGATCTTCGAAAAGCAAATGGGCCCCCATGTGATTTTTCTGAGCCGCGAAGAGTGCAGCGGTAGCGGTCGAAGCTCGGCGGCGGTTGAGCGGACGCGAGGTGGAGCAAACGGCATGCACGCGTGTTAGTGGCGTACGTACGCCAAGCTGTTTACCTGTGCGCAAAATCGCTCGTCTGTGGCGTTGCGGAACGAACCACCATCTTTGGTCAACCTTCCGGGCTCTCGAAGGCTTCAACACACGCGGAAGTAAACACGCTATGGCAGGGTATGCAATTGAATGGCAATGATCGGGGAATTCTCACATGAGTTTCGTATGTTCTGTGCTAACCAGGCAGATAGATAAGGTTGCTGGTAGCCAGGGTGCATACGAAGGACGTGTCTCCTTTCCTGGACCTCATGAGCGACCTGCATATTAGGCGAAGTCCACTTAGCGTCGACAAACCACTGTTCCTGAAAAGTATAACCTCCGTCGTCGGTAGCGTCTGCCCTGCGAAGCGTCAGCAAGGGCCCACTTCGACTGGTCTGGGGCAACACCTCCATTCGCCCTGGGTTTCAGCCGACCCATTGGTTGTATTCAATAATCATGGAATCTAGTGCAAGTCATTCCGTGCATATGGCAGGGATCATCTCTACGGCGAGACATACACCTCTGGTACGGAAGATGCATGACCCTCGAAGAGCAGCACTAGAGGTGGTCCAGCCCCACTGTGTACCTCAATCTGCACTTGCCGTCCCCCAGGCCCAATGGTTAAATGTACCTGCAGTTATTCCCTTCCCTTATGGTCTCATATAGAGCAGGCCCCGGAAACTAAGCGACCGGGTCTGGCACTCTTGACAGCTCTTGATGTTCTCCGACCTCCCACGGAGTTTATAGTAAGGGTCTGAACCGGTCCATCGCAGTCTTTTCCATTCCGCCTCACACTTCCTGGCCGTTCGATCGTACACGAAGGTCGTGTGCGAGTACGAAGAAGGATGAGGCCCCTTCATTTGCTCTTCCCATTGCTGGCATGGGTACAGCTGGTAGTCGCTCAGGAATCGGCTCTACTGGCAGTGATTGAGCAACTTCCTCAATGCGCGGTACGTTCAAACGGAGTAATATCCCCAGCATTTATTGACTGTTTTCCAGCAAGTGTGTCTTGCCACTGCAGTTGCCCAATCGCCAGTACAGCATACAGACCAGGCCTCTGTATGTGCAGATGCCAAACTGCAAGGCGAGGTAGAGGCATGTGTCATGAAGTCATGCACACTGAGACAGAGTTTGAGTGAGTGCTCCAGGCTATGTCAGCATGCTTACTGTTGCTGATTACGATTCTTAGCAACCAAAAATGTTACTACAACAAGTTGTCACGCTCCGATCCGTTACTCCGGCGATTCAATTCGTGTATCCAACTTGATTCTTTCGATCGTCACCGCCGTTTGTGCGCTCTCCAGGATCATATACAAAGCCGTTTTCTCCGTCGGTGAACTTGGCTACGACGACTACAGTGTCTTGGCCGCACTAATAGCTGGTGTTCCATCTGTGGTCATCATCGATAGGGCTATTGTTCCAAACGGTCTAGGACGAGACGTATGGACCGTCAGCTTCCAACAAATCACCGACTTCGTCAGATATCTTTACGCTCTGGAAGTCCTCTATTTCATTCAGGTTGCGCTTCTGAAGCTTACGCTATTATTCTTCTTCCTGCGAATATTCCCGAAACCCAGCATCAGGCGACTACTATGGGCAACCATCGCCTTCAACTGCCTCAACGGTCTTGCCTTCACGTTGGTGGCTATCTTTCAATGCCGACCGATCTCTTTTTACTGGACCAAATGGGATGGAGAAGGATCCGGCCAATGTATCGACATCAATGGGTTAGCGTGGACAAATGCCATCATCAGCATTGTCTTGGACATCTGGATGCTCGCTTTGCCCTTGTATGAGGTGTTCCACCTGCAGCTCTCCTGGCGCAAGAAGCTTAGCGTCGCTGTTATGTTCTGCGTCGGTACATTGTAAGTTTTGCTTCCAACGGTCTACCGACGATAATTACTGACTCAAACCTCAGTGTGACCATCATTTCAATCCTTCGTCTATCCTCTCTCGTCAACTTCGCGGCCTCATCCAATCCAACATGGGATCAAGCGGATGTTATCAATTGGTCTAACATCGAGATCAATGTCGGCATTATCTGCGCTTGCCTGCCTGCGCTACGCGTGATACTCGTACACTTATTCCCCAAGATCCTCGGCACAACCAAAGCCACCGAACGACCTTACTACGCATACGGTAGCCAAAGTCATGGCATGAAGAAGGGCGGCAGTGCGCTGGCCAGTGGTCCAGGACGATCGGCAGTCTCGAACGGCGCGCGAGACCCAAACGCTATCACATACACCAAGACTTTCGAAATACGGCATGCCGATCATGATGAGCAATCACTTGTGCAAATGGAGATGGACCAGTTTGGACCACATAAGCCGAAAAATACGAGTAGCAGCACCAGCATTTCGAGTTTCTAGATACCACTTATTAAAGATACCCTAATTCCTTTCTCAACGCTCGGCAGTGCGGCTCTTAAAGACCCAGAACGTGATGTATGGTACATGTCAACATTGGTATTTTGCGACCATGTAAGCAGATGCGGTCTCCTCGGTGTTGTACCGGTCGCTGTTTGTATCAGATGCCGTACTTCCTCAGATTCTCTGCAGAGCCGGAGTAATAGACCGTGAACTCCTCGCCCTCCTTGACATCTCGAACGGTCTTGAACACCATCTGCTCCAGCTGTTGATCCCAATGCCTCCTGACGTTTGAGTGGCTTTCGTGATTGAACATGGACCCAGTCAAAAGAACCATTCCAATTTGGCCAAATGAAGCCTCACCTTCGAATGCATTAGAGTTTACGCAACCCACGACTGCATCAAGAAGACGATGATGAGCAATATCCATCGTCTTTGTGAACGGTGTCTCATCAGGTTGAGCGTTGTGCAAGAGCAAGATAGCCTCCAAGGCTCCCTTGGGCAAGAGGAGTAAGAGTGGAGGCATGAACTCGCCGTATGGCATCACCAGGACAGGCGACTCCTGCAAGACGATCTCGCCAGCTTTGATTTCGCGGGTTGCAACGACACCGCGGCCTTTGCCTTCGATGGAGACTATCTTGTAAGGCGCTCCAGTCGGTGATCGCATGAAAGCGCTAGGGTTCTCGCCGCCGGCTGCGTACTCCTCCCACGCGCGACTGATGCTCCGGTATGTGGCTTCTTTCATTTCTTCTGATGGAATTAACATCTCATCAAGTTTGCCACGCAGCTTGGACGGCATGGGTCGTCTTTGATGTGTCTGTAACATCTCATTTGGTGCGGGGGCGTTTGTGAAGCATTGGTCCAATATGTCTCTCTTAGGACCGGTAAGGCGGTATGGCTCCAGGGCTTCTGAGTCGCCCATATTGATCGTAAGAAGATTGAGTTGATTAGAAGATAGGTTCTCACGGAGGCGGCGGCCCACGACTATGTATCGGGTACGCAGTGTTTATTGGGAAAGACGATGTTTGGCATCCATGGATCGCTGCGCGTCCATCCCTGAGGCTCGGCCCAAGTGGGGTTAGTTCCTTGGCGCAGGATCTATTACAAAGGAGTCGCATCCATGGATCCTTTTGTTCATCAAAGTGGTGGCAATACTCTCTAAAGACGCTTCCGTTAGCAGTAGACAGTGAATCTTTGTTTCCCTAACTGTGGTTACATGTTTGCAACCCGCAACCACAATCGTCAAAGACACGTCTCTCGCGGCGATCGAGACTCATTGTATCGCCCCGAGGTCCTCTTCGTCATGCTTCCGCCACCGGGTCTGCCATCGCCCTTTGGGTGTATTCGGCAAAGTTGAATCCCAAGGTTGTCAGAATCGCCTTACAGTGTATGGTACCGGGAAGGCTGGCATTGCGGGCAGAATATAAGGGCAGTTGCAGTGGGCGGGGGGTTGAGCCGATGCACACAGCCACTGTCATCTGCACCTCGGGCGGTTAACGCAGCTGTACCATTTCTGCCTTGCCCCTACTCATGTCGAAGGAGATAACGAGCGGATACAGATACTTCCCTTGGAACGAACTGAAAATTTCCTGCCCACAGTGATATCTGCGGCATCCGTCAACAGCCTGCTGCTGTATTACAATACGCAGCAGCTTGCGCGATCCAATCTGTGGCCCCGCACAGGTCCTCCACACGTCCGACAGCTCTCAGCAACCGCAACCTACGAGGTGTTGGTGGACAGAAACCGACGTTCCTCTCCTCCAAGGCATGATTGGTCTTTGAGTTGAAGGGATCATGCGCCTCCTACACGCTAGAACTCTTGAGTTCGAAGTCTTCCACGATGATCAAATTCCGCGATACGTAATACTTTCCCACACTTGGGGAGACGAAGAGGTCAGCTACCAGGAAATGCGCTTCCTGCAACAATACAACGCTTTGCCAGCCGAACTAGAGGAAGACATAATCTTCGTAGCCGCGATAAAGATGTCGGTTGGATTGGACATTCTATTGGACAGTAGGGCGATCGAGAGTCGCACTGGTTACAGCAAAATTCAGGAAACGGCTAACATCGCAAGGGAGAAGGGAATGGACTATTTCTGGATAGATACTTGTTGTATTGATAAGAGCAGCAGCGCGGAGCTGCAGGAGGCAATCAATTCCATGTACCGATGGTACCAGCATTCAAGCTTCTGTGCTGTACACCTGGAGGGTGTTGACATCACGCATTATAAAAGTTGGGGGGAGATGATTGACCTTGCCACGATATTGCAACCCTGCAAATGGATCACCAGAGGTTGGACCTTACAGGAGCTTATCGCACCAAGAAACCTCGCATTCTACGATGGAATCTTCACTTGCATCGAAGCCTGGAGAATGTATAATGGGTTGGAAAGAGCTACCGGGGTCTCAGAATACGTATTGAGGACCGGGGATCTGAGCCGGTCGTCTGTCGCTCAAAAGATGTCATGGGCGGCTACTCGCAAGACGACTCGAATCGAAGACCGCGCGTATAGTTTGATGGGCTTATTCGGAGTTCAAATTCCGATGTTGTATGGCGAGGGTGAAAATGCGTTCAGTCGATTGCAAGAAGAAATCATCAGAACTACTCCTGACGACTCGATCTTTGCCTGGAGAGCGACCTGGGGGTTGACTTCTAGCTATTGCGGATTACTTGCAAAGTCGCCAGATGTGTTCGAACAATCGCAGAGCGTTGGTCGAGGCCGCAGCACGTTTGCTATGTCGAATATGGGTCTCAAGATTGATGCGCCATTATCTCTGGAAATCGTCAGTCCGGAGCAACTTCGCAACTGGCGTGTGCCAGGACATAAGGGCAGCGACCCTATTCGCTTGCTTCTACTAGATGCAGAACAATATGGGAGATCGATTGGTTTGTTTGTCCGAAGACTCGAAGCCGATTTCTACGCTAGAGTTGCACCAAACATATTCGAACATTCAAAGATGTCAAAGCTGAAGCTCGAGACACTCTATTTCGAAGATCCGCCACGAATCCCAAGGAAGCTCATGAGCTGTGCAATGTACTGCTTCCATTTTGAGTTCGATCAATCAGAATACTCGATTTCAAGCGCCCGACCTCGGGGACTATGGGATCAAGATCGCCAAGAACTCTCCATCGAGATTGCGCCTGGTGGAAACGATTCACCCCCCTACGACACCTTTTATGGCATGGTCTGGATGACTTGCCACAAACCCGGCTTCACACTTCCATTCTCGATATTTTTCGCATACCATGTTGTAACCGGACGATTGTGGACCAAGCTGTTGAGCTCCGATTATACCCTGCGCGAGATCGAATGGCACACTGCAATCTCAGATATGGAGATTTCTAGACGGTATGAAGAGTCCAATTCCCCAGATACATCGCAAGAGCTGCAACTTCCTTGTGGAGTTCTTGTCGAGATCAACATTCGTGCGGGCTTGCGTCGAGGCTTGATTTCATACATTGTCCGTATATCCTGAAATAGGGACTCTTTCCACAGCTGGTTGGCTCGCTGCGAATCTCCTCACCCTTATGGTTCTCATATGCCCGGTTATTTGGCGATCCTGGTCAGCAATATGGATGTCCAATTCAGCCAGCGTATCTGCCGTAACCGACTGCCATTGGACCGAACGCAGTACCTCAAACCTCTGGATGGCACACGTCGCGAAGACTGCTTTATATGCAATCTGGCATGTTATTTGGAGATCGTGGCCGGAGACGCGGATGGTGCCACCACCCGCTGTCAGGTACAACACGTGCCGGGCTAATGCGGTCATGACGCAACGCAGCCTGGCTTCTAGAAGACCGTCTCAATTCCGGAAGGCCTTGCAATTTCAGTGTTCTGATCCCCCATTGCCGTCGCTCAAGATACCGCTTCGATATGTCCATACTTCTGCCGCTTTACGTGTACCCAAGCGCGGGCGCCTGGGAACCGCTGTACACAGCGTAGGCACATCCATCTCGAGCGTCGTTACATACTAACAAAACCCTAGAGCAAAAGCGCACAAGAATGTGGACTTTAACGTCATCATCAACCCCTGCTCCGGCCCTTGCATGGGATCACTCCCCGATCAAGTGTACCTAGACGAAGTCCCAAAACTCCGAGCCTACCCAAACATTCGCACATTAGGATATGTTGCAACGGACTACGCAGACAAGCCTATCGAAAGCTTATTGGCAGAAATCGACACCTACGCGCGTTGGCCCAAAGTGACAAACATTTCCAAGATGCGCGTTGATGGAATCTTCTTGGACGAGACGCCAAGTACTTTCGATGAAGACGATTACGAATACTTGAAGACAGCAAATCAAGCGATCAAAAACAACACAGCATTCAGCGATCGCTTCATAGCTCACAACCCCGGTCTGATACCCACGTCCATCCTCACCTCGCCTACGGTGCTCCAAGAGTCCTACCTCAACCTCACGGATCTCACCGTCGTATTCGAAGAGACGTTCGATAAGTGGCTGGATAGAGACGTCATGGTGCCATTGCAAGCACACAAGATTCGGCGTTCGAAGCTGGCTGTCATACTGCATTCTTTGCCTAGTCTGACTGAAGAGGTGCTGGGGTTCATGGTGCAGCAAGTTGAGAACACGGCGGATTGGGTATTCTTGACGGATAGTGCGGACGACTATTATCACACCTTTAGTGCGATGTTTGGAGATCTGGTGAAGGCGGTTGATGGGAGTAGTTGAGTGGGGTAGAGTGGCTCAAATTCACGACGCCAGGGATGACGGGAATTCGTGTCGCCTTTAGACCAAGGCTCTTGTTACAATCACGGAGATGTCGCAATAATCCTTCGCTAGAGCCAAATCAGAACCTTTTCCTACAGAGGTGTCTTGACGTCAAAGGCTGGATCCTAGATACCGAATGTTCGGTCGTCGTTGTTGTTCTGTTCATGGTTACTACTTCCACAACTCGTGGCAAGATTGTTCTGCGGAGCCGCTCAGTCCTGCGCCTGCCTTCAGGGAGGAAGCGGAAGCGGAAGTCTCAGGGCATTTTGACTTCAGGTTTGAATGCAAGCTGCAGCACGGTTATCATACAAAAGTATGGCTACTCGTGAATGAAATACATAGCCAGAATATGTTCACAAGGCGTGCGCCAGGTCACACGTACTGTCGAACCCTCTCCCACCGACGCCGCAGCTTGGGCGGTGATGGTTTCCGTCGGGAATGGTTCGTAATGCAGGAGTTACTGTGGTACTCGGGTTAGTCGCCTTCCTGTTGCGATGGTTGTAGAGGTAAGGTTGGGCGAATCGGAGTGGTGGGGTTTCCGCGTTGGCAGCAGCCTCGCCCGCCGTAATCGCCTATCTTCGGCTTGCTTCACGCCTTGCGCCCTTCCTCTCAACATGCCGCCGCAATGCCGCCACCGCGTTTATATCCCCTCACTCGCCTCTGCAGTACGTGGTCCCGTCCACAGACTGTGCGATTGACCTCACCTCCAGCCAGCAAACACCCTGAAAGCGGCTGATCGAGCCTTCACCGCACCCCTCGTCCACCCCGCGTTGCACCCCCTGCGCCAGCTACACCCGTCACGGCCATACTCAGCTATGTCGGAGCTCTCCCAGTACACTGCTAAGAGCAGCAAAAGCACAACCAATGGCACAAGCCACAATGGCAATGCCTGGGGCGGCGAGCACAACCCAGCGGCCTTTGACTTCCGCTCCGATGTGCACACCACACCGACCATGTCGATGCTGAAAGCCATCCAGGAGTGCACCCTGCTCGACGACGTCACCATGGAAGACCCGACCACACTGTCGCTCGAGCGATTCGTTGCCGATCTCAGCGGGAAGGAGGAGGCACTCCTGGTGCTCTCTGGCACCATGGGCAACCAGGTCGCATTCCGAGCACACCTTACCACCCCTCCACACGCCGTCATCGTCGATCGACGTGGCCATATCATCAACTACGAGGCGGGCGGTGTAGCGACACTGAGCCAGGCCATGGTGCAACCGCTGGATGCGAAGAACGGGACTTACCTCACATTGGAGGATATCCAAAAGTACGCTGTCATCTCCGATGACGTCCATGCCTGCCCTACACGCCTCATATCGCTCGAAAACACGCTCAATGGCGCGATTATGCCTCTGTCCGAGGTCAAGCGCATATCAGCTTGGGCGCGCGAGCACGACATCATAATGCACTTGGACGGTGCGCGTCTGTGGGAAGCTGTAGCTGCAGGTGCCGGTTCTCTCAAAGACTACTGCGCCGAGTTCGATAGCATAAGCCTGTGCATAAGCAAGGGCCTCGGCGCGCCGATTGGTAGCATCCTCGTCGGTACGAAGGAGTTCATCAAGCGGAGCCGCTGGATCCGCAAGTCCATTGGTGGAGGTTTGCGACAAGCTGGTGTTGTTGCGGCTCCGATGCGCGTTGCCATTGAGGAGACCTTCCTCGGCGGCAAGCTCACTCAATCTCACGAGAACGCGAAGAAGATTGCGAGCATTTGGACAGATCTTGGAGGCAAGCTGCAATACCCCGTAGACACCAACATGGTTTGGCTAGATCTGGACGCGCATCATGTTGACATCAACAACTTTATCGAGCTAGCGGAGAAGTACGGCGTAAGGGTGCGCGGTGGTCGATTTGTTGTGCATTACCAGATTGGCGAGGAAGCGATCGAAGCGCTGCGAAAGGTATTCACCGAAGTGTTGACTGGTAAGGAATCGGCAGGGAAGAAAGCCGAAGCCCCGCATGACCCCGAAGACCTCAAGATGAAGGGAAAGGGCGTGGAGTAGATGCAGCAGCCACAGCATGAGATTAGTGGGTAAATGAATAAACCTTGGAACGAATCAAACCAGTGCACTCAGCCACGCAGCCACATGAATCTTCAGTACCTGCATGTCTAGCGTGGTAGCGTCTGTCATGTTCCGAATTCGCCGGGACATCGGAATCCACCAGAGCTTCCAAGACCTCGCTATTACGTTAAACTTTCAACTTTAGGCCAAAGACTCTGTCCACCGCTACCCGACGTCAGAGCAAAGTCGTCATCGAACCCTCAAACACGACAGCGCCAAGATGGAGGCCGAAGAATACTACATGAGACTGCTCTGGACGGCGCGGCGGCGCTGGGTATTCGCATTTGACTCCTCGGACTTGCTCTGATTATGTACAAACCTGCACGCGTCGTCACCTCTGGGCAAAACTTTCTACGACAGACGTCACTTTCGCCGAAAAGAGCTGCTGGACCCTGTGTACATAGACCTACGGCCTGCAGACCTGGCAATTCACACAACTTTCTTGTCTCCACACCACGCCAATTTCACACGACAACAGCAAAGATGGTACCACCGATTGCACAAAACCGGACACTGCTGTCCAATCATCCGGATAAAGTCCGCATGCTGGTGCTTGAGACTGATGAGACACATCCCGATACGCAAAAAGAGACAGGATCCTTTGGAGTGGTTTTGGGCCAGCTTCTCAAGAAAGCCGGAGACGCGCACAAGCCCAGTCTAGGTATCGAGACTGCCATGCAATATGTGGTCGAACCGGAAGGTGGCGCCATACCAAAGTTGGAGGAGATTGGCGACGATGTCCATGCCATTCTTATCACGGGTAGCTGCTGGGACGCGCACGGTAACGACCCTTGGATCCTCAAGCTCATGCAGTTCATCAAAGGTATGTGTCCCAGATTAGTCTTGAGTTGAGGGAAAACGCAGTAGCTAAACACAGAACAGACGTGTGGCAACATCGCCCCGATATCCGCTTCACAGGAATTTGTTTCGGACATCAAATCCTTTGCAGGACTCTCGGCGCAACCGTCAAACCCCAGAAGGACGGTGAATGGGAACTTTCCCATCAACCCATCCAATTGTCTGAACTTGGCCGCAACCTCTTCAATCTGCCCGAGACGGAGTCCAAGATCCATCTTCACCAAATGCATCTCGACCACGTCGTCAACCCTCCGTCTACTGAGACAACTGATTTGATACCTAAGGACACCACGGTACATGTCTGGGGTACCAGCGAGCATACAGGTGTGCAGGGCGTGTATATCCACAAGAGGCTGTTCACTACACAGGGCCATATGGAGTTTGATGAAGCCCTTGTTAAGAGACAGCTGGAGATGAGGGTCGAGAGTGGAAGTGTCAGCAAAGAGAATGCGAACGAAGCCGCTGAGAGAGCAGATTGGACGCATGATGGCCTTCTCGTTGCCCAGGCAGTTTTGAGATTCTTCCACGGTGACGACGACATATACACGTAGGAACCATCATCGGGCTAGGTTCCAAGCGAGTCCCCCACGACCTTACGAGAAAGAGCATGTTATCGGCGTTAGTTGAACTGGAAACTTTATGAAGCATGGGACTAGGAGCACGTGGTATTCACTGAATGCCGTTATAGATGTTTATTTATTGTTGGGAGCGTTCTTTGCGTCGTTGTAGTGACGTACGCCGCTTCGGCTTTGAAGCGCTGAGTAGGACCGTTTGCAACGTCTCAGAGGGCAAAACGCACCAGTCGAATGAAGTAATTTACGACCACACAGGGCCTCGTTGCAAAAGCTTGTCTCAACCTCGATCGAAGTCGATCCTGCTAGAGCAGGCTAAACATCGGGTGGGTGATGGCCTTCGGCATTAAAACGCCCGATGGCGCGCGGATAAGAGGTTCCGATATCTTATACCCGGATGCGACCCGGCCACCAATCCACCTGCCTCTTTGAAGGCGTCTGCAAGTGCGTCATCGCTCCACAGAGGCGTACCGTAGGGACAGAGATACAGCAGCAACGCCTTCATACCCCAGCTGTCTACATCGGGTGCCATTCGATACTCACACCCTGCATGCACAATGGTCGGTCAACATCGGCCGGCTGCTCCCCGGCGTGCATACAGCACTTCGTTCACACGCATCCAAACCCTGGAATTAAGAATGTTGCGGAGCGAGATTCAACGGGGCACGGCATGCTCTCCACGTCCCGGCGCTAGCGTCATGTTCGACAGGCGACCAGACGGATTAAGGGTGGGCACATCCCCATGACCTGGGTCGATAACTCTTCCAGCCTCGCCTTCCCTAGACCTCGAAACAATTCCCACGCCACTCTGCACTGGCAGCTTGTTGAGGCATCTGCTAGCGTTAACATACTACTCAAACTCACACCGCCCCTCATGCTAAGGTCATAACAGCATCGCCATGGCCACCCCCAGAGATACAGCAAGCGACGATAACCTCGATGTTGCTAGTGACAAAGAGAGAAGGAGCCAAGAGGTGGATATCGAGAAAGATGGACTGCAAGACGACCTGGAACGACAGGCCTCTGAGCCTCCCTACTCTGTCTTCAGTAAAGGCACGAAGACATGGATTATCTTCTTGGTGTCTATCTCAGCTCTGATATCCCCGTTTGGCGCGTCCATGTTCCTTCCGGCGCTTAATGTGCTCTCCGACGTCCTGGATATTACACCTACGCAGGTCAATATCTCAATTACAACGTACATGGTATGTCTAAGAATTTCTTCTTCATATTCAACGAGACAGGGAACGCTTTTGTTACCCCGAAGGCCTCCCACAACCCAGCTACCGCTGACGCTGTATACTCAGTCGATGATCTTGACCACAACTGACTATTATAGATCGCACAAGCTATTGCTCCCGCTTTCCTTGGGACTCTATCGGACAACAGCGGGCGAAGGTTGACCTTCATCATATGCTTCATCATCTATAGCATCGGCAACATCGGCCTCGCACTCCAAACAAACTACATC